GGAATGCTAAAATTCAGGGGGGTTCTAGAGAAACTTTACATTTAATTTATTCTCTTCAGGCATCTAACATCAGCTTTTACTGCGCAGCAATCCAGACCCTACGCTGAGAAGAGGGGAGGTCTTACCCTTGAAACATAATGCTTTTCTGCTCACCAGCAGTACAAGCTGAAATAGACTATTATGGGTTTATAAAATGTTAAAATAAGCCTAAAATAATAGTTGGGCTTAACCTCAACAGTTCTGTGCAATGACATAGTTTATGCAGCAAATTCACTGGATGTCAAATAATGGACTATAAATAATGGCCATAAAATTGTAAACAGGCAGGGTTTGTAAATGAAAGCCAGCTGCTCCTGAACATCTCAACTCCAAAAATCCTGATGGGACCAAAGTTGAAGTTGTTTCAAAAACTTTGGAAACAGAGAGACCGCATATTATAAAATAACCAAAAAAATGTGAGAACCCACCAGAGCAAGGCAGACTATCTCTGTGGGGGAGTGTTAGGGATTACAGGAGATCACAGCTGAAACACAGGAATTTTCTTAACTTACTAAGGGAGCTTCCAAATGTGCTATTTTTGGTTTGGTTTGTTTGTTTGTTTTCTGAGGCAGAAGGCTGCTTTCCTAATGTTGTAGCTGCCATTTGGGTTAAATGACCAACAATACTCAGATGTTTTGTATTTTTAAATAATTTGTGTCTGTTGTTTAGGTCAATTTTATTCAAAAACACAATTTGAGAACTATTCCAACACCAGTCAGAGAGCTGATGAAAAACTCCTGAGTGTGTCTGGATCTGAGCACAAAGTCACCAGGTAACAGATATGGGCTAAGGGTGAGTGATGTACGTGCTTTGAGATGTATTTTATCAGCTAATATCAGAGATCAAAAGAAATTAAACTGTTTGTCTGCAAGAATACACCTCTTTGGTGTAAGTAATAGGAACTTGTGCTTGGATTTTTCCCTGACAGCCTGAATTTGTTACTTGTTAAATGATGCTCCAGGGCTCAAGGCTCCTATTTCACGGGCAGGGAAAAATCTTACCCTGGGGCTGTGGTTTTTATAAAAAGAGCCCAATAAAGTAAGATTCTATCATTTACATGGATAGAAGGAGGGTAAATCCTTAGCTGGATTTACCACTAGAAAAAAATTTTACACTTAATTGCTTTTAGCAAGTTTCTGTGATGTAGAAGAAATACTGTGAGCACGGCTTCTGCTCGCTGTCCCCATGCGTCCCTGTCACCGCTGCCTCCAGCTCTAGAAGCGGAGAGGTTCCAGCTCTGCCCACACACAGTCGTTCTGACTCTTGGTACCATCTGCAAACATATGGTCAATTCTGGGCTTACCCTTTGGTTATTTTATCACAAATTTTTCTTGCTTTTATTTTGTTTCAGGCAATACAAGAAAGATTACAGGCTTGAGTCAACCAGAGATCCCATTTCCTGCTGGTCAATAGATGTAACTTCCTAGAAAAGAGTATTCTGGGAAAGAAAACTATGCAAATGATGCTCTTCCAAATATTTTTGATACTTTAGCTCATGAAGAAAACCACACAGTTAATGCTTTACCTGTTATTGTAGATAAACATCACAAATATTTTACCTTGAAATAATTATACTTCAAGATGAGAGTGTGCTTGCTTGTTGTTTGTTATTTTAAAATGATTTATGATACTCAATGTGGTTATGTTGTTGAAGATCTATGTGAATGAACAAAATAAAATTGACGTGATCAGCTCACAGTCTGATATGGACACAAGGACTTAGGTTTCCAAATAAAAGTAAGTAGTGGCATCACCCAATCCAGCAAATGTGCAATGCACACTGTAATAATTTCTAAAATACACACTCGCTATCCAGTTACAAATAACAATGTTCTTGAACTACGTGTTTTGTAAAAGAATATGAAGTTTAATGTTAGTATTTTAGTAGTATTAGTAGTTCAGTATTAGTTTACCATTTCTCTCATTTCTTACTTTATGCAAAAAAGCAGCCTTGCTCTATTAGGGTTCTTTGGAGATCGTTCTGCAGCAACGACCAAAGCTCATGAAATCAGCACCAGGACCGTGCGTGGGGATGGCAGCCTGCGCTGCCTGCAGTCTCATTCGCTGCTGCAAAGTTTCTGAGGCTCCACTTTAAAACCCTCTGCACAACAGACATTGGCTTGTTGCCAAACAGGCCTCTGACTTGTTGCAAAAGACATCATTCCAACCCTGAAATTTAGCAGATTTTTTTTGGCACCATTTCATAGAACATTTTGCAAACATTGGAAGATGTTTTACAAATAATGAAGAACTCAGAAAACATGTGGTGCAGGGAGGTAACATTTCAGAGGAATTGTAAACACAGAAGCCTCTGCCTGTGGAATGCTATTTGTCATTTTGGTCTTCAGTTTTTTTCATAAATTTTAATTCCAAAATTATTTTATGTTTTAGAATTTCAGTTCCTGTGCATCTTTGAACCCATAAATATGCTAGCATTGTAGAAGGTTTAACTAAAGCTGCTTTCTATCCTGCCAATAATATATAACTGGAAGAATCTTATTATTTTAAAGTAATGTACTAAAAGAGAAGCACAAAGTCAGTAAGATAAAGCAAACTGTGTAATTAGAAGCCTGTTTGTTAAAAGAACTGTGTAGACATGATGCCATGATATGTTTGCTTGAATTTCTTGTTCTTTCAAGATGCAGATTTGGCTGGACAAATTACACGACAGACAATGTGGAATTTGGAAACACCAGATTGCTTGCTTTGCCACATCGTAAACAGGCTTACCAATTTGAAAAGCAGGAGCTTATTTCCATTATAAATGAACTTGGTATTTGAATTACATGTTGATGATTCAGGGTTTTATCAGTGGACTTAGTCAAATTAAAAATGCCCTGCTTGCACTTACAGGGTGTCTATGCGTTGCCTCCTCCACCTGCCTGCTAACTGCAGGGATAACACACAGCACCAAAACAGGGAGCAGTGGGGCGTGGCTGGAGGGCATCTTCACCTGGTCCCCTCTGCTTTAAGCAAGGTTCAAGCATGCGCAGATCATTCTTGAGAGCAGCTCTTCTACTCTATCCGCTAAAACCTGCAATGCTGGAAGTTCCCCAGATGTCCAAGGCAGCCTGTTGCCCTTTTAATGCAATTCTCCCTTGCTGCAAAGAAGCAGACCCTGCTGACCTTGATGGATGGGAAGAAAACCAGACGTCAGCCTTCCTCACAGCAACTTTTTACATAGTTGAGGTTTTTTTTCCTCCTGCTTCCTGCAACTTCCCTCCAAAGCTGTTCCTGTCCTCTGGCCTGCACCTGATACGCCCATGCTACGCTGAGATGCCGTGCCCAGAGCTGCACAGGGACTGTGCCCATGGTTTCCCCCCGGCTGATGGACCTTCTCAGGTCTGAAAAGAGGTGCTCGCTGGCTGTGACCCCAGGGATGGCCGTCTTTTCTGCAGCAGCCCTGTGTCGCTGCTGTGCCTGGCCACTGCAACTCCCAAATCCTTTCCTCAGTGCTTCTTCCCCTCTGCTCGTGTGCTTTCCATTCTGTACGTGTGTTCCATTTCACTGTTTTTCACTTGAATTGTATCTTAATTTGTTGTTTAGTCACTCTCCTCCTGTCCTTTCCAAGCCCCAAAGTGAGTTCTGATGGGCTTCCAATTTGCTTCGCTCCCTTCCCTTGCTCAAGAGTCTGAGGGCAGACACAGTAATGAATATTTTTGCATTCTGTAATTTCTAATTCTGACGCAGAACACACAATGTATCTCATACTTTTCTCTTTTAACCAGCATTGTACCAGCTGGCAGTAGGAGTAAAATTTTTATCTAACTGTAAGCATCTGCCTGCTACTTCTCCCTCTCCTTACTGTCACCTTTAGCTATGTTTGCAATCGTCTCCTACCTTGCAGGGGTCTTGGAAGTACTATGTATTAAAAAGGGGATTTTTCTGTCTCCACCAGTGTAAGTGGGAGTTTCTCAGGCTGCTACAGAAGCCTTGCAAAAGCAGACTAGAGCCCCTGAGGTCAACTTGTGGCTGACAATTCAGTCACAGCCGACAAGACTCCTGTTACCTCCAGAGATTTGCCTCATCCCCATAAATTAAATGGGCAAAGCTCTGGCTTAGGCTGTGCCCGGTATTGCCTTGTGCCTGAACTCTGCCAGCCAGGTAGGCCAAGATCTGCTGTCCATGGCTGTGGGTTTTGTTAATGGAGCAAATGAGTATGGAACCAGCCCTGATGGGCAGTCCCACAGTTCCTGTCTCTGGTATTTCATTAATTTATAAACATCTGGGCATTCAAAAGTGAGGTTCAAATTAAAACACGAAAATACAGAAGTCCTGGCTGCTAACAGTCATCTCGAGTGCTGGCACTGCACCAGCCCTCAGCACTACACAGTCAAGTGGTCAGATGCTTTTAAGTACTGCTGAGCTATCCCGAAATATGTGCTGGTCTGTCCTCTTGTGTTGGATTTCAAAATGTATCTGGCATCCTGGGTTTTGTGAAACTGGAAATAAAACATTGATAGCTGTTGGAATAACAGAACAAGGCATTAAGTACTGATACTTTTATTTCAGTCACTCCTGACACTCAGTTATTGATTTAAAATTGGATAGAACGTTTCTGTTATGTTTTAAAATTATGACTTAAAATTTTACTTTTTTAAAAGTAGTACATTAATTCTATAAAATGAGGATATTTCAGGGAAGAGTGATATCTGTGCACACAGAATAGCTGTTTAGCACTTAAGATTTGATCAAATATGCAATAAACTTCTCTGTGACAATCCGTCATATCTTGACATTGCCAAACGTGGTAAGCTTATGTCTTTTTAATACTTCTTAAACACTGAAAAATACTGTTCTTTCAGGCAAATACTCTGTACAGCCATGAATCTGGAGGAAGCTGGAGTTTAAAACAGACTGGAAACAATATAGTCTGTATGAACACCATCTATCAGCCCAGCTCCATTGTTATGAACAAACCAGCAAGGAATATCGATGCCATGCTTGGGATCTCTTCTGTAATCCTTCTGCCAGCCCCTGAAAGGGAAAATACAGTCATGGGAGTGTCGAAGCAGAAACTGCAGTTTGGTAAGGTAATCTTTCCTAAGTCTTTGCTAAGGACTTAATTATTTTTACCTTGTTACTGTCAGTTCTTTGTTTTTAACAATCATTGTAGCATCTGGTTTCTTGGGATCAGATGCAGGATGAATTTCAAGTATGCTGAAGTCAATCAGGTGGAAAAACTGTCCTAAAAATAGAAGCTAAAATTACCATTTCAGGCATGTTGCACACATTAAAACAGAAACAAACCAAAGAGAAACCCCAGAATTTCTACATTCCCATGCTGTTTTCCATGTCTCCTCAGGGTTTTCAAACAATAAGCAAACACCAAGTTTTGTGTAAGGTTGAACATATGTCTATGGTATTATTTTCTTTTTCTAAACTAAAATTCTATGGATGTCATCTGGATATAAGTTCCAGCTTCTGAGTGTGCAGTGAAATTAGCCTTTTCAAGATATCCTCACTTTGTGTCTTTTCTATTCAGTAGTATTTATGACATAATCTCCAAGTCTTCAGCCTTTTTTTTAACCAAATAATACACATGTTGATCTCTGAAACTACTGGATGTGATTATGCTCAGAACAAGCCTGACAGCTAAGGAATTTTCACACTCCTGCCAGGATTAGCTCTCACACGCTTCTGCCCTGTCTGGGCTGGTGCAGGATGCTGCTGGTGCTTTGAATGCTGTAACAAGCACAGATTTTAGATTACTTAGTGAAGTACAGAGGCAAAGCCAAAGATGATGAAAATAGCCATGAGATGTGTAAGCCAGTGAACTGTGACATGGTGCCCCCACGGCACATGGGCTTTTTGCAATTTTCTTGCTACTTGCAATTCATACCATAGCAGAATAACTTCTGTGTGGAGAAGTTCTTTAGCCTGAGGAGACTGGAGCAGGAGAGCATAAATAACGTTCCAGCCTTATTCTGCTCTGTTTTGTTACAGCATTTCCCATGACACGTGGACCTAACGTGTCCCACCACTGGCTCACTCTCCTCAGGCCCCAAAGCGCAGACCAAGACTGAGAAGAGTAAGTTTGCAGCAGTTTATTATTTTCCTCAATGAGTAAATTTATCAACCCAAAATGAATGTTTGCTGCACTTACATGACTTTGTAAGTGAAAATTGGAAGGCAAGGGGGAATGGCTGCTGCTGTCTGTGTATTTTCCAACAGAGAATACACACCACCCAAGCCACTACAGTGGCTGAAAACAGGATTCAATGGGGTCAGTCTCTGAATTACCAACTTTGCCTTCTACTAGATTAAAGAACGTTAGCTAATGTGAGGAAAATCTTAGACGGTATAAGGCATTCTGTGACTTTTAATACATGTAAGTAAATCAATATATACCTTCTTTTCTTACGAGGATGCTCTAATTGAGGTATGGCAAATTTTAATTGAGCAAACACATGTATTTTTTCAGAGT